AATAGACGATAAATCTAGATGAGCCGGGGCTATCTAAGACGTTTGAAAAGTCATCAGTATACAAGACAGGGAAGCTTGGTCGTGGCTGTGGTGTCGAGTAATTAGCGACATAGCAACTTCAACTTCGTTTCTATCCTTCCTTGACGTTATCGAACATACCTGTATGAGGACCATACTGGAAGAGTTTGAATCAATAGACTGAAGCACAAAACCCATGAGATCCCTCGGAACAGTCCTGCTAGCCAATATTCTGTTAAAATATTTCGTAAGGCATTCAAAAATGTTGTACTACTTCGGCTTGATTACTGTAATGCTTCTTAATAGAGGAGTAACGAGGGACGCGAAACGTGGACCGAGTTATGTATCATATCGACACCCCGATATACATTAGCACATCCGCTTTCACCGCTTTTAAAAAGTAAAGAATGAACTGTATTTTCATAAGGGAGTCTACTCACACGGTTTCTGAAAACTCTTCGACAGCCCACAACCGGTTTCGCCCTTAGTAGGGCTCATCAGGTAGGCGCAGGCCCTGGGTTTCCGTGTCAACCTTATGTTCTACTTCAACCCAAATTGGACTGTTTTCGAGAAATACACTCATTCGCAAACCAATTCGGTTTCCACGAGAAACTCGGCTGACTCTTTTGTTTATGATATTCTACAACTGAATGTGCTGCACACAGATCCCTCATGCTTCAGTTGGCACGATATTCAATATATCGCAGTGAAAACCAAAGTGATTTGCCAATGGGCGTATTTCTCAAAAACAGTCCAATTCGGGTTCAAATAGAACATAATGTTGACGGAAACTCGGGGACTGCGCCTACCTGATGAGCCCCAAGAAGGACGAAACCGGTCGTGGGCTGTTGAAGAGTTTTCAGCAACCTTGTGAGTAGTTTCCTCTATGAAAATATACTGCAATATGTCGAATATCGTGGCAACTGAAACATAAGGCGGCCTGTGTGCAGCGCATTCAGTTGTAGAATACCATAAACGAGAGATTCAGTTGAGTCTCTCGTGAAAAGCAAATCGATTTGCAAATGAGTGTATTTCTCGAAGCTTAGATATGTTAGCAAGTGATACACTCCACCGTAGAACTGGTTGCGAATAACATGTGTGAAGAACAGACCAGAAGGTTCCGAACGAGAAGTATGGAGCAAAAAACCGTGAAATGGTGCGGTAAGGCCCTGCAGCCAGGGCCTTACCGCACCATCTATTGGAATATGACGTCTATGACATCTATTGGAATATGACGTCTGTTCCCTCAGACGTTTGAAAATGATAAATTTGAGAGAACACTGCTGCAGTGTGAAACGACAGACGGCCGGTTATTGCCAAGTTTAGTAGATGAGTTGAGCCCCCGTCAAGTTAGAAGATCTGGAATTGTGCCGTGAACAGCACAGATACAGAGGACATGGCTATTCAGATAGTAAGGAGTCAACAACGACGCTGTTCAAAGTAAGCCCGCGATATGCTGCTGGATTTGACAAGGATGTGACAACACTGGCCGGGTATCTCAATGAATGCTCACTCACATTGAGGAGATTACATTCTCTATGTGGGATGATGAAGTCAGAGCTCAATTGATTGCATCTGAATGGCTTGTCTTCAAAAAGAGGATAGATCACTTTCTGGGTTCTGCGCCTCTCTGCAGACATAGTTAACGGACAAGTTGGGATGTTGATGACGTCAACATAGTCAAACTCACTTGCCTCAGGGAATGGTTCCCCTAAATACTTTAAAATCCGAAAACAACCTAACCTGTAGTCGGATAGCTTATCTCACATCATCCAGCGAGAGAAAATGGCAAGAAACCCTGGTGTGATTACCCGACATCACCGGTCTGAGACAAGATCGTTTGGTTTGAAGTGTGGCGAGTCTTCTCTGGTTAGTTCCTCTCCAAATCTTATCGGAATACAACAGTGTTTCGACAAGTCAAAAGCGTAAGCCCATCCGTAAACAATTTCACCTATGTGAGTAAATATAACTGGACTGCTATGTATGTACGTGAAAGGAGAACGCGAGCTGGTTAGTCATCACGTTACTGCGTAATCACTGTTTCCGAAGATACAGGAATACTACTAGTGTAACGGCGGTACTACTGATGGGGAGGCATGCGACTAGTATGTTTTGTTCTTGTAAATTCGCTTTGCTTCTCTTGAAAAGGAAGATCTTTTACAGGAATTCGCGGAGTTGCTTTGTAGCATTTGCTTGGATTTGAGCGACGAATGACTGGAGTCGATGTATATTCAGGAAAGTTCAAGAAGACGCGTTCAGGAGAATAGGGATGTTCAGTTTTTGTAAATAAGATGCAAATGAGAGTTTTGCTTCCCTGTCCAATATTCTGTAACTGGTCAGTTGGCATTTTCTAATAAACAACTATGCAGCGAAGGCCTTCTTCCTTTCACTAGAGATGAATAAATGAAAGCAAAACGATCGATGAAGAACTCACATACATGACTGTTTATTTTGTCACTCTACGCGGCTGGCATGAGTTGGTATGCAAGTTTGTGAATGTAAAACTACAAGACTGCATAGCTTTTTGCCTTTTCAACACCAAGATACTAAGTATAGAAAGTCCACCCCCAGTAACGCACAGGGGTTTTTCAACCCATAAAATTGTATTTGATATCTTTCATCCGCTTCGGTGCAGTGTTCTTCATAAAAACACCAAGTACAAGGTCATGGAGAATTTATAAGTGTCTCCGCCTGCCGGATATCCCTAGTTCAAGGGCCCTTGTTGGGAGGTATTACCGTATTCTTATCAGTCAATGTGTCTGCCGGCTTTTGGTGAACTTAACATCAATTTAAACAACATGTGGAGTACTAACGTTTGGTGGAAAGTGATCAAAGTTCATATCCGTAAAGTTCCTTCGCATATCTTTTCCACACTAGTTAATTCCCACTGTTCAATTTCTCATGAGACCCAGTTCCAAAGACCGGGTTTTATTATCCCCAAGACCATAACTGTAGATCTGTACAACAGGTGATGACACTCCAAGCTTTGTGGAACTGCGACCAACTTACCACAGAGTTCATACATGAGCGATGATCAAAGTGAGTGAACTACTCCGACGGTTTGCTAGTCCGGCACATTGGAAAAATTACATCCGAACCCGCAAGAAGATCACCACGTCAAGAATGAATCGTCGTGACCACTTTGTGGAAACTAACCTCAGATTTGAAGGACAACAAAACGGAGTGATACACCACATCAGGTTCCGTGTTGGACTATGGACATCAGAAGATATGAAGCCGTATCCTTGATAGCCGCGCATAAAAGCCATGAGTTTGGTTTGGAAAATGTACAATCCATGGTATACGGGAAACGCAGACAAAAAAGGGAAGTTCTGAAAGAATCACACTCCACGACTAATCCCATCAACAGGCACCAATATGCACACCATTATGCGGAAAAGACCAGCGATCAACTGTAGTGCTCAAATGCAGCCTCCTGGAATTACATCGGCGAAAGGTACAGCGCGGGACTCACATGGGTCAACGTCAGAGGCCACTCCACTAACGACCAATGGATGGAAGCAACGGAGGTCAAGCTCGAAGGTCACGTGGGAATCAACGAGTGAGAATAGCTAACAGGCCAACTAATAGAAGCACCCAGTCAAACAACCAATCTTAATTGGAAGGCAGTGTTGGTCAGTAAGGATTCTCAGGGCGAACAGATAAAGCGTTATGCCACAACTAAGCCAACAATAGGAGAGTGGAAAGTCAAGGCTGCAGACTCTATCCTAAGGCCTGAAACGTTCCGTGAAGCTCGTCTCTGTTTCATGTGTGAATTAGTGAATAACATCAGATTTCATATGTCTGGAGTATGGAGAGGTGATATTTTTCATAAGGAATGTTTCGGCCTCACAAGATCACGCTTGCCATCCCTTATCCAGACTAACGTTTATTTTTTGAATTCTTACGAGGCCTTCAAAAGCCGAATCACGGGGAATTCGGTAACGGTTCCCAAGTATGTGACACTTCATTGTCGGGACCCCTTGTCGGGGTGTTTTACTATGGTATCATGGTGTTGTGTTACAGCGGGATGAAATGTGATCATCCTGCCGTGGCACGCTTAACGAACTTGATTGACAGTACAACGGAGTCGGTTGCGACTACAAACATGATCTGTGTGTTAGTCATCTGGGTTAGCTGAGCCGACTTTTACCAATCGGCTGCTAAAAGTTAGAAAACCATGTGGCGGGTTGGATTCGCTTCATTCTGGTAGTTATCCACTTATTTTTGCTGCTGAGCAAGCGGTGTGACCATAACAGTATTGACGATACTTCTGAAGTGTTGCAACAATTCGGTGGACGTTCACTCGGCAAACATTTGGCCCAAAAATGACGGCTTTGTGCCTAAAGAAAGCAAGAAGGAATATTTGAAAAAATATGCGATTAGTGAAGCTAACGGGAGCCGTTCCTAGTGGAAAACTACTGAAGATTCGTTTGGGCACACAGAGAGCCTGCTGATCTAACTTGATTCACAGAAATTTTGAACTAATTGCCAAAGGTGGTTTTATATAAAGCCGATTCTACGGTCATAAAATTAGCCGAATATTTACGTCATGCTCGTTTTTCAGGAGAATTAAAGCTTGACTCGCCGATCATTTTATGCGGTAGGATGTCGGGGATTTACGGCGCCCGATTTAGGTTGTACTGAGTCCTCTGATCACAGCCCAAATGCTTTTCCTTGCGTGACAGATACAGCTGCATTGACTACTGATTGGTCAGTCTATAGCCTTCTGATTCGAGCCTGGGTAGCAAAGCTGGTGTGGGTGTATGGGCGCTTGGACCAATCAGATTCACGCATGGACCCTATCGATCAGTCCGGGGTCGAATGATGGTCGCATGCGTAGACAGGCGACACACCCTAGGCAGTCAGATACAACCGCTCCGGTTCGTTACCTAAACTGCTGTTCTCCGCCTAGCCGACCAGTTTTCATTCTATCCTGCTTTGTAGCAGAGGCCACTAAGCGAACGACTGTTGCAGCCCAGATGCCTCGATTCAAAGTGACACCACAAACTCAGAAAATTCATGAAGACAGCAACAGTCCAACAGAGGATGAAGATGATGATGAGTTTCCTGGTGATGAATTTGTGGAACAAACAGTAAAGCAGACTGATGAGGATTTGAGCAGTTCCTCACAAGACCTTACATCCAGTTTGTCTGCACTTGCTGGTCTAACGCCATCCGGCTGTACACCAAACATGCAAATAGCAGCACTACTCGCACAGGCGGCAGCAACGATGGCTGCCATGGGATCTGGAACAAACCTCCCACTACCACAAGCGATGCAACCTCTGATCGCACCGTTAGGATTGTCGTTACCTTCTCTTCCGAAACCAGTCCCGGAACCGATGATGATTAATGCAAAGACAGCTGTGAAATATAAGCCCGTAACCCCGATATCTGGTCCGAGTTTACCTCTGAATCGAAGTGCACAGCTACCCCGAATGCCGATGGGTATCCTGATTGCTAAATCTAGACCAAGAGCATGGACTGTACAGAAACCAGTACCGAAAAGACAGATCCCAACACGAATATCTGCACCGAACTTAGGGACGCAACGAAGTGTGCAACAAACTGTCTCACAATCTGCCAGCTTGCTCCCGGCGAAGAAATCAGTACCATCGACAATGGAACAACCAAGCCCGAAATCAAAACCGCCAAGAGCTTCACCGGTGCCCAACGTACCGTTGTCGTCCACCGTTTGTCCGCCCAAAGTTTCCTTGGATGTTACTTTTTCCACATCAAAGCCAGATCAAAAGTCACTTACGAAAACCAAACCACCGGACGTTCCCTGCGAGTCTGGCTCTCAGCCACCTAAAACATCTTTTGACAAGAACCAGTTGGAACTTTCGGCCTTGACATCGAAAGCGGAACAAGTGAGCTTGCAGAACAAGACCGCCATAACAGACTCACAGCCGACAACAGTTTCCGTCAATACGGTAAAGCCTGAAGTTTCCAGTACCCTGAAAATGGATAAGAATTCCGAGCCCTCAAACCGCAAATTGACATCAGGAGCAAAACTGGAAGCAGAGTCCAACGGTACCTTTGAAAGGGGTCATTCCCGCATGATCACCAAGCAGCCATCTACTGAGGTGGGATTAATTCCGTTGCTTACCCCACCAAAAACCGAAGAGACCAGAGCCCAATCCAAAAGGCGATCTGTTCCAGAGGAAGTGGTCCAATGCTCTATTTGCAACAAAAGCCTTCTTCGCAGTTCACTTCCTGAACACATGGATAAGCACAACAACAGTGGTCGTTTCTCCTGTCCAGTGTGCCCTAAAAAGTTCAGTCGTTCCAGCGCGCGAGAGAAACACATTAGGATTCATACAGGAGAGAAGCCGTTCAGATGTCCACATTGTCCCAAAGCCTATCGCCAACAGGTTCATCTTAACGAACATCTGCGTTCGCACAGCGGTGAAAGGCCGTTTGTATGTCGGCTATGTGGATTCGCACTAGCTTCAAAATCCCTACTCACTCGCCATATCCGTACGCATGGCGTTCGGAAGAAACCAGGCGAAGTCCCCGAGTTATGGTTCAAGTCAGACGCACCAAAGGAGACTGTGCTCGGTCTGGCCGCTGAAGTTGGTCGTGTGCTTGGCCAGAAGGATGGTAAACAGAACAGGACTGGCAAGAGCAAGTCTCGGTCTTCGGGTAATGGTGGGACAGAGGCCAAAACTCAATTGCCCGTAGATTTGGCAAAGCTGAGTCGAAAGTATCTGTGCGATGCTTGTCCTGCCGGATTTCCGACCGCACAAACCCTACGCAGTCATCGATTGATCACGCACGGTGGAACGTTTCCACACAAATGCAGTGAATGTGGTGAGGCGTTTGCAACAGTCAGGATTCGTAGAGCTCACGCTTTAGCGAAACATCCCTACGTAAGTCGCCATAAGTTTGTTTCTCATCTTGTTTTCCAATCACTAGGTTTGGTTCTCGCAGGTTTGTGATTTCTGTTATCTTTTTGATTCAGATCGAAATTTCACAGATTTTTCACTACGTTGCTTTTTCCCATGTGGTCTCTACTCGCTTGAGTTTCCGCGTCGATTCTCAGCGTTTTTAGTGGTAGTTTTTAGTAGCTTTGTGGATTTCGGTAGACTAGAAGGGGTGGGTGATTGGAATATACTGAAGAATAGCGAAGTTGACAAGATAATGCCCTCGTAATTTATCAGCCCTCATCTTATGGCATGTGCCTTCCAGTCTTAACGCTATTTGTGGCATCAAAAAGACGTGGTCGCCGGCTGTAATGTTGTACGGCAGCGAGACTTGGCCACTTTGGGTAAAGGATCTGAGACATCTTCAGCTATTTGACCACCGATATCTCAGATCTGTGGCTGGAATCGGCTGGATCCAGTGAATTTGAGATGAGGTGACCAGGAGACAGACAGGTCTTTGGTGAAGCAGACGGTATTTCACTCAAGGAGTGCTTTAAGAAGCTGATATGTCTGAGCCGTGCACTGCGCATGCCAGATTACTGCCTACAGAGACGAACGCTGTGTTCCGTGCCTAATTCGGAGTGACTGAAACCTAGAGGTGGATAGAACTTGACTTGACCCAAGGGAATGGAAGATTTTACTGGAAGTCGGAGTGTTACTGGTGTTGTTCTCCTTCCAGGATGGGGTCCGCGCGACCTTGTCTGTGCTTGACTGAATATACTGAACGGCTAACCGGCATGAATGGTGCTCACGTTGTCAGTGCTGGAGGTGTTGACACCTCTGATGTTTGTGGTAGGCTATCTCTAGGTTCACTTCCCTTCCCAATTTCTTTCTTCTTTCCATTATAAGGCTTTATTCGAACACATTGACAGGGTTGTACGGCGGCGAAGCACCAATCTTCTCCCCTGATATTGCTATCAATGATCATGAGGCTTTAATCTCAGAGCGGCCAGGGACTGCATTGCACTTAAGTCACCTTTTTTCCCAATGTAGTTTCATTAAAGACGGCACGAAGCTTCAGAATGATGAGATACAGGCTGAGTAAAAAACGTTTGACTCCAAATAGTTAGATCACCTATCAGATAAACAAGAGGTTAGTACGGGTTCTCGCTCTTTTCCAGGTGTTTTATGTCCACATTACATGTACTTGGGCTTTGCATTTCGATAAATATGTTAAGAGTTGAAATGTACTTTGGTCAGCAGGTCAGGCTGACATGGCTCACGTTGTGTGACGTGTCTTGCTCTGGTGACTGCGAGCCACACAATGCTCCGTCAAATACGTAGTATCAAACATCTAATCGATTGTCATATCAGCGTGTTTGGTGCTGTTCCCGATTACAAGCGAAATAACAACGGATATGCCGTATTTAATTGATGACAAAGATTTCATCTCATCATCTGTCCGAACCCCATGATTTCCAATTGTTCGTCCCATTGTTACACATATGAATTCAGCGGGCTTCTCCACGGAGGCAATAGATTTAATTTTCGGAACAACGGTGGATCGCACACAACATCGTCATCAGAAACAGAATCATCAGTGTTGACCCTGGTGCTTCATTGCTCTACAACTACACATGTTATTTAATTGTAGGAGAAAGAGAGGAGAAAAAGAGTTGGTGAGGGATTATCTAGTGCTAGGCTATCGCAAGTATTTTGGAAGGCCCACACCCCGCAGCGCCTATTCAGACAGCCGGGAAAAGTTGACAGCACAAGCGCCACTGACCTAGAATAGCCACCACTGCCTCCAATCAGTCGCGGCGGTGAGAGGGAGTTTTCATGGGGATCCCATCCTAGAAGACGGACCGCATCAACATCAAGTAAACTCTTCATAATCTGTTTCGCACAGTTCTGACAAGTCATGCGCTACCAACCTCGTATTTTGCGCCGTTCCCAAGGTGACACGGAGAACAACACTCGCCTCCGTAGACGATGTTTCGACAAGCGTATCATACGTTCGATCCCCCGCATACAATTTGGGTTCACTGAATTAGGGACCTTGGCCAAGTGAAGGGTGCTGATGTGCGATTTAGATATGCCGACTAGCATGCTGGTTTTGTTCATCAGAATGCCCGTTCGAGTTGTCCGCAGAAACGTGCACAAAACCGTGTATCCTTGGTATGCGCATAAACGTTGGCTTCACGCTTTTACGGGGATTCAAACGTATATCTGTTATTTCCGTTAGCTACTTCACCGAACGCCTTTGGCAACCTTATCATGCTAGATAATTTCAAATACGGAGCTCAAAACACCGCGAGTAATTCTCGTCACGTGCTGCGATCGATCGTCCCGATCCAGGTTATTGTGCGCTTTCGCGTCAAACCACTTTATTGAACGATTCGATTTGCGAGCAGGTTTTAAGATCCCTCACCAATCCGCCTACGTCAGTTCACTTACCTCCCCCCGTTCAGATATTCAGATACCTTGGTTATCTCCGCTACTGAGTCCACGGAGTTTTAATCAAAGTTCTCTATTTTAAAGCCCCCTTTTCAGTGTTTAATGTCTTCATTAGCTACGGTTCACTGCGGCATTTGTGTCCATCGATCTTCTCTCGGTGATGCCTAAATTGCCATTACACATAACCCTCATCTCTTCACTTCAGCAATACCTCTCCCTCCCTTGAGCACAGGCTTGGATTTTTCCATCTTCACAGTTGAAGATGTAAATGATGGTGTCAGAATTCAGAAAAACCGAATTTTATATCTTGGTTTTTGGTGAGGGGAAAGCGATTCTCAGGAACGCTTACAACTTGGGAGGATGGTTTCCCCAACGGCCTCACTTTTGAGCCAGATTTCAATAGACCAGACTGTGAAGAGATTAGTCCCGGGATGAGCACTTACTGTTTGAATTTGCCAGTTGAATATATGAATATGGATTCTGTTTAAAAGGCACGATAACCCATCAAGCGACAGCATTCTTCATCGAACGTGGTGACCCATGTGCTGTCAACTCGGCTGGAATTCGGTAATCTATTACTGACTAGTTTCTACTATGATGAAACCCACTTCGATTGAGAGTTCCAGCACGGCCTACTCAGGCTAAACAAACTTTGTAATCAGATCTAACCACTAACCAACACTGACTACTGGGGTATGGCTGTATAATCAAAAATAGATCACCAGGCATGATCTGATAACATTAAAAGTTTATTAGTGATGAACGGGCTTAGACTAGCTCGGTTTTTTGACCCACAATCAACGGCTGCAATCCGCGGATAATCTCATTAAGTGAAGTGTTTGTCATGACGCTACGTTGTGTTGTGTCCATGACGACCCATCTCAGCACTTTGATGGACGAAATTAACGTGTTAATTTAATCACAAGTATCCGCGATGATCAGCACGTTTCAGTCGTGCATCACCGTTCTTCGAGCAACTTCGCCATCATCGCTGCTTCCCTACAGCCATCCATTCCTCTAGACGGGGCAACGCTGATGCTGGTGTACGGTGCTAGTTAGACACAGCGCCTTGACGACTCATAAGATCCTGTGTGCTTTCATGTCATGCAGAGTTCGACCATCTGCCGCTAGCACCAGAAGTATCCATCGACAAGTAAGATACGTGGAGACTTGCGGCGCTCATGCGCGGTACAATTACTAACGGCAAGGGCGTCATTGCAGAACGTCACCGTTTTGCACGATGCTCAGGCTACCAGTCCGCATCAGACTGGTTCTGTGGTCGCCCCTTGGGGTAATTGTGCAGAATCAATCATCAACTGCGCTGAATACATATTTCAGCCGAATGCATGTTGTATGGTGTCTTTAACTGCCACCGTTTCATTCTCCGATGATCTGGAGAGATAGAGGTAGATAGTTACGCATTGGAGGCAGCAGCCACTATGATTGATGCGTGCATCCATGAATGACAGTATGACTTACACTGGGGTGATCGGGAGGGGAGCTATGGTTTGAAGGCAACAGGTTGGATACATATGGCCACCGAGTGCGCGACTGAGCTATGTCTGCCAATGTCCATAACCACTGACACATTTCGTGGACCCTATCAACAGAGATGACGATAACCTGTACAGCTGAGTCTCCTGGCGATGGCTTTCCTGATTGCTTGACCTCTCCTGACTCTTTTTGATTTATTTTGGACACGCTACTCAAATGTGTCCAGTAGTATAGAGTCTATCGCTAATATGAAATACCTCAGGGCTGGTGATGGCAGGGGCCTTAGTCACTGAAAGTGCGTTTCTGTCTCTGCGGTTGCAACTTTTCTAGGAACTCACTTCTCGCTTGCGTATTCATAGGATCAGAATCCAATTCAGTGGGTTCACCTACACAGAGCTACTGTGTCAATTTTTCTGTTTTCTACTCGTCACTCATCATAATTGGTTGTGGGTGGTTGCGGCATTTGTAGAATTGCACGTTTGAACGGTCATCCTCCTGTCCTGGCACAATCATTCTGGTGAGTCCACGCCAAACAAGAGAAGCACTACACTCGAGTTTCATTCTTATTAGAGCTCATCAGCTGTCGTGCCGGGGTTTGAATTCCGCACATCTGACAAGCGAACCCTGCGTACCACCAGTACTGTACCAGCGCACACTGGATACATCTGACTTTTCATGTCTGAAAGGGCGAACGTGTTTACGCTTGGGTAATGTGAGTGCTATACCCAGCGTCTCGAGAAAAACCAGTAACATACCTCACTTATGCCTATCGGTTGACCCGCCTATCGTTGCTTCCCAGTCAGGTAGTGCCACAGACACTTGAAACTTGCTGGAGGCTTCCGGCGTCCCGTTTACATCCCTGAAGCGCCAACTTGTTCACCTGTTCGGACGTGAAAATCCGGATGAGCCCAGCGTACGTCGGTGGGGTAGTGGTAACACGCTCGCTTTGCATGTCAGATGTTCGGAGTTCGAACCCCGGCACGGCCATTGGATATGCACAGCTGTTGACTCTAATAAGAGCGTGACTAGAGTCCAGTGTTTCCCCCTTTGGTGTG